ATAAATGAGTAGCATTTCACTGTGCAACTTCATTATCTAATGTATTAAAAGCATGAATAATCTTTCGTCGGATAGAAAACGCATTTATTATTTAAGAAAATGTGGGAATTATAATTATTGATTATGATATTCAAAGCATAGTAGCATATAGCCGGACGGAGGTTTAATTAATTCACCATGCGAAGGTTAACAAAATAAGAGCTAATTCGGTAACTGTAATTACATCACTTTCATTAATTCAATTATTAAGGAATTTTTCCTATTTATATATTTATGCACTTAATTTGGAGAAAAGCATTAAGTCGTCGTGTTTAGTTTTATAAGAGCATTGTTCGCATTGCATTTTTTAAAAAGCAACGTATTTTTTAAAGAACTGCAACGTATTTTCTAAAGAGAAATATGTTAATTGACATAACAGCATCGTAATCAGATCCGCTAAAATTGGATTTTTAAATGTTGCTCACGTTTCAGTTCGAGGCTTGAAGAACACTTTTTGCTTTCGTTTTTTGCCCATTGTAACCGCAGAGCCTTGAATTAGATTCACAGTTGATTAGACTTGCAATCTCTATTTTTGTATTTAATTTATTAGATTTTGATCTTTGCATTCGGAAAGTACAACGAAAACACAGATTTATCTTCTGTTATTTACCTTTCTGCTTCATTTTCCGGCTATTATTAGTATTACTTTTGCGGTGTGCTGGAATCACATTTTCTATTTTATATATGCAAGGTACCATATACTGCAATGATGCAGTATTACATTATAACACTGCACTGGATTCACATTTCGTATTTTTATATGTACAAAGTATCTATGTACTGCGCCGGTGAAGCACTATTGCACACATAACACTGTTCTACTGGATTCACAATTTGTATTTTATATGTACAAATTACCATATACTGCATTGATAAAATATTACATCATAATGCTGCCCTAGATTGACATTTTGTATATGTATATGCGTATATAGGCGCAATATTTCACCGTAATACTGCACTAGATTCACATTTTGTATATGCAAAGCACCATATAATATATAGGCGCAAAATGACAGTGTAATACTACATTAAATGTACATTTTGCATATGCAAAGTACCATCAGGTGAAACACGGAGGTCATCATCCCTTATGCAAAGTACCATATACAACATAGGCGCAATATTGCTCCATAACACTGCAATGGATTCACATTTCGTATTTTATATGTACAAAGAATCATATACTGCGCCGGTTAAATATTGCACTATAACACTGCACTGGATTTACATTTTATACATGCAATGTACTATATATTGCACAGACGCAATATTATAAAATAATACTGCACTGGATTTACATTTCGTATTTTATAGGTACAAAGATGGTTCGCAGCATTTATGTAAATGCTGCGCATATTGTGTGACTTTTCCAATAATCATGATTTTTTTCCATTAACCATGATTCTTCTCCAACAATCATGATTCTTCTCCAATAATTATGATTCTTTTCCAATAATTATGATTCGGTTGTTAGCTTACCAACATAAATTGTCACTATCCTGTATATTCTAAAATTAATTTTTAGAACAATTTGTTAGCTAACCAAACTAAACTGTCAAAAAACTGTATTTTATAGTTAATTTAGAACAACTTGTTAGTTAACTAATGTAAATTGTCAAGCCTGTATCCTAAATTAGATTTTACAGCAAGGTTTTGTTAACCAAAGTATGTAGTCTCAGGTCTATATTCTAAAATTAGTTTTTAGGACCATTTGTTACTTAATCAAACTAAATTACTACAAGCCTGTATTTCTGAAAGCATACTTTTAGGATATGTTTCGCATTTTGATGCATAATTGCTTAAATTAGATTCCTCTTTCAATAAACCTCAATTAATATTAAATTTTTTTTGCTTATTTTTAATTATTGAAATTTTGTTCGGCTTAACATTATGAGACGGCGGCATTTTTTGCGCATACAAAAGTTTTTAATATTTTCGAAATTCTAAATGCTATTGTAGTCGCCAGTGGTTTTTAATACTTATCACAAGCACGGGGTTTGGTTAGGTTAGGCAAATACGGTCGGAGAAGCTTTCGAGTAGGTAACGACCAGGGAAAAAAATTTAAAAAAGCCGTCTGCATTTTCTAAGTAAAATGCAGATGTTAAAATTAACTCAAAGCATTATTTAGGTACCGTAGGTTTACGAGAGATTATACGTAATGTTTTCTGCGTTACTGTGTAAACGAAAATTAATAAAATACACAATGCAGAACCAAAAATTTTTCACAAAAAATTAAAATTCACAAACACCATATTTTTGAAAATTTATTAACAGAATATTTTAAATATACAGCGCTTGTGAAGAAAATGCACACATAAAATATATTTACATGTACTTTTACAACAGGCGAAGTCATGCCAAGTGTAGGCTTTACAAATAATTTTATACTATATACAAGATCTGTAAGAGCAAATGCAAGCTCCAAAGCAAATGTACGTTTCCAAATACATATTGAAACTTTCAGGGGGAGCTTTTGAACAATTTAACAACTAGAAGGAATAATGTATTGTAGTATTGTCACGGTTTATGGTTTAGGGTTAGTTGAGGAGTCACATTCAGTTCAACCTAGTAGTGACCGCAAAACCCCATGAACCTCTGAACTCTGAACCTACAATTATTTTGGTTCAGTGCTCTGTGTGTGACACTTCAAAAGGAATCATCTGCCAAAGCAAGTATTTTTTCAATTAAATTTTTATCTATTTCTATCTATTGATATTTGCATATTGGAATTACTATTTTTCATTTATACTAAAATTTTTATGTCTTTAACTTAGGAATATTTGTAATTTCTTCATATTTAAGAAGTTATTAATATTTATTTCTGCATTTTTTCCCTGTCTACTACTAAACCTTTATTCCTGTATGTTATCAGTGTTTTAGTTTGATATATTTTTAGCTTAAATTTAATCTTTTAATTTAAAAATAATACATTTAATTTAATATTTTATTTGATTTATCTAATTTCATTTTGTTAGGTTAAACGTTTTTTCTTTGCTATGGCTACTTCATCTTTAATGCAGAAATTGAAAGTATTTCAACATGATGACAGGAATGTCATTGATTAAATGATGAAGAAAAGGCAATTATTTTAGCAACAGAAGCTGGCTTGCTTCCCCCCCCCCAAAAAAAGAGGAGGCCCCACCTTGCCCAAAATGTGGTGATAAAATGAATGCCATTCCAGGAAAGAAGCAAACTTGGAAATTGAGATCCGGAAAGAAGCAAAATTGGTGGCGATGGATTTGCAGCAACAGGAATAGAGGCAAGTGTCCAGGAATGGTTAACCCCGTTGTAGGCACATTTTTTTGAGGGGACCAAAGTTCCAGTCAAGGGAGTGCATGGTCTTCATATTCCTCTTTGTACTGGAGATGAATTTCACGTTTATTAAGATGAATTTTATGTCATGGAGGAAGAGCAGAAATTTGCCAGAAATACGCGACGAAACAATATGCGACTTTATGTCCTATTGTAGAGAAAGTATTCGCCTCTCATCACAGTACACAACTTGGTGGAGCAGGTAAAGGATTCTTAATTTTTTTCTGTATTTATTTTGTCTCACAAATTAACTGAGCCATGTATTTAATTCAACTTTTAATGAGATATGCATTTACCTTATATTTTAAGTCCCTTACCAGTCGAGTGATAAAATGACTGAATACTCGTAGTTTAACCGTAATTAAGATCCTAGCAAACAGGCTGGCTTCCCTCCCAAGAGTATTCGCAGTTTTCACCATGTGTAACATGAATACAAGTAAGTTCCCCTAAAAAGTACTCCATGAAGGCACCTCTCCTTTTAGGCAAATAGCCCTTTATTGCATTCCTATAATGTAAATAATAATAATTAGTTATATTTCAGGGTACTTATGTATTAGCCAATACTTACAGATGCACTGCTAACAATACACTGCAGTGATGCTTTCTTTAGATTACTGCAGATGTTCCGAAATAATAGTTCCAGAAAGATGCCAATTGTTAAAATATAATAAACATTTTTATTTAATTTTCAGTTTGCCGAAGAACAGCAACTATTCCAGTTGCAATGCTTCAAATTGCAGATGATAGAAATCGTATAATGGAAAATGTTATCGACTGTTCAAGATGTAATTGAGCTGGGAATTGGTTGGTGGAAAGTTGCTTGCCTAGTTATGCAGGAGAATTCGTGTGGACGAAAGCTGCAGGTTAAGTTACGTTAGGACATTTTAACATATTAAAGTCAAAAGGGCTATCTGTGTAAAAGGAGGAATGCCATTGTGAAGGACGTTTTGAGGGAAACTGGCTTATAATCAATTTACACATGGTGAAGATTATGAAAATAGTTTGCTCGCCTGGTAGACGCCATTTTATTGCAAAATTGTGATAATATGTTTCATTTACCTTTTATTTGCCTTGCAGGTAAAACCATTTTAGTTGATGAGACATTTCTTACCAAGCGTAAGTATAACAGAGGGCGGGTTACCAAAAACATGACATAACAATAACTGTTTTTAGGAATATATTGTCGAGAAGACAAAGAAGGGCTGTTTTTTAGAGTTAATGGGAAAAGCAAGCGAGATATATGGCCATATATAAAGCATCATGTTCATCCAGAAACTTCAGTCATTTGTACCGATTCAGCTAAACAGTATAAAAATGTAGAAAGCATGTTCTCTGGAGCTGTTCACAAGACAACAAATCACAGCAAAGGTAATTAAATCACTTTGTTTTCATATCTGAATATGTTAATAAATTAACAATTTGTGAATACTTATTTTACAGGTCATGATTGGTTAATCGGTTACAGTCAGCTTGTTAAAAAAATATGTTTATGAAGAAATTTTCTAATGTTAAATAATTTCCTCAAGAATCTACACAAAAGCTTATTGACATATTTCCATTACAGGTGAATTTGTAGCTAAAAAGGATAAATTCAATACGATAAATCAGTTAGAAAATGAAAACAAAATTTTTAACAATTGTTAATAGACGCAATGATCAAAGTCTGATACAGTATATGGCCCTTCATTATTACAAGCGTTTTCGTTTGAAGCAATTTCAATATCCGGGCGAAAAAATTTACCAGTTCCTACAAGATATTAAAACTGTATATCCTGGCTATGGAAAAAATGGTTTAGAGTTGAAATTTATAAATGAGCCAACAGTACAAAGTGAGGATATTGAAGATTTAATGCCACCGAAAAAAGCTGCCCGTCAAGATGATGAAATGCAGTTTATTGAAGATGGTGATGATATGTGGGGTAAGAATAAGCAATTTTTCATTTTAATTTATTTTAAGAACTTGATTCTTTTTCTAAAATGCATCATAAAAAGTAAACAATAAGATATAGCATTTTTATTATTATCTGCTTACATTTAGCAATAAATATGACAGCTTTAAAGGCTGATAAACCATGGCAAAAAAGACAGTTTGCATAAAACAATGCAATGTAAATGCAGAAGTCAGACAGCTTTTTAAAAGCAGATAATTACTAAAAATAGCATTTGGTATTAACAACAGCTGTTCAAAAGTACAAGTAGCAACTGCACGGTGATACATGCACCACAACTATGACGGATTTCTTTTAAGAGACATATATTGATTCTCTTGAAAAATGTATCAGCACAATTGGTGTTAATTCAAGAGTACTTGATGTGGGCATCTTTTAAAGTCTATGCCAGTCTATGCCTTGGTTCTTCAGTGTTGTGATTTATATATTGCAGTTGACCATTTTTAATTTTAACAATTCTTGTAAATAACCATCAATAAGAAAATCTTTCATCCTCCATACTATTGTGTTCCTGTGATGACATTTGACAATGTATACTGAAAATTATTAAGTTTGCCATGTTCTGTCATCCCTTAAACTTGTGATATAAATTCTGTTACGCCCTGTATATATATATATAGAAAGAGCTTTGCAAAAAAAGTAATAAGTGCATGTTTTTCAATTGCATTTCAGAGTATGGAAATTAAAAATCCTGCAGCCCTTTCATAAATAAATACAGCAGAATTACAGGTTCGAAAATGTAATTTATTTCCTAAGTATTTTTGGTAAGCACTAAATGTAAATATATACAAAAGAAGGCATTTACACATTTTTAGAACAATTTGGGGGCCATTTAATTATGTTTAAAATGTAAAGAGTATTTTTTATATATGTTCAATATGATAGCTTTTTTTTTCCGGCAAGCCTGCCCAGAAAATGCCCATGATTTCTCCGAAAGAAGGGCTTTTCATAATATTTCCATGGGTATTGATTTTTATTCCTCGTCCATAACTTTCCAGATTCCATCTGTTGTGATGGCTTTGCACTTAGAAAGCTTAGCTCTTTATGAGATCAAAGGCACAACAGTCCACGTGTGATTTTTTTTAAAATTCTGATCAAAATTATTCTAAAAATATGTAAAACACCCTATTTGTATATTATTTCTTTATTATGTATCTTATTTTTCTTGTAACAGTGATTTCATTTTTATAATATCTTGACTGTTATACTTAAAAAAACATTTTTTGCCTCCCTTGGTTTTTGAATTTTTCAGGTTCGGAGGATTATGGCTCTTGGCGACACCTCCAAAAACGCATCACGATTCCTACCTCCTGATGTAGGTTTGCACTTGATGTACAGACATAATTACTTTCAAAATTTTTAAATATTTAACGTATCATATTGCTTAATTTGTTATGCATGTCATGCTTCGCAATAACCAATTTCTTCATGATTATAATTCAACTTTCATTTCCTTAAAACTGAAATTAATACTTAAAAGTAACAATTGAAATATTTAGCATGCTTCTTTAAGAGTATTTTACAGTTTCTGTTTTTTAAAGCAAGTGCAAATTTGTGCATATGCATGTCATCATGTTCATGTTTCATGCATGCAACTTCAATTCTTCTTCATTATATTAGTTTCAATAATCTTTAACAATTATTTCTCTGTTTATTATAATTTTGTTCACTGTAATGGAATTAAAACTGTTAATATCTCTGCATACTGCTCCAAGTGTTTAAACCACTGAAATGGTGATTATTAGAAATCTTTGGTAAAATTTACTCTACTGTAACCCTTGGTGAATATTTCTTCTTTATTTGAGAGATGCTTTTTTCTGTGTTTTTTTTTTTTTTAACTTTTTTAAAGCTTTAAGCAAACCTACTTCTAAGGTGATGTGGAAATGGAATCTATTTATCCCCACCTTTTTAATTATGGAATATTTTAAACAGATGCTGAAGCCAGTCAGTTTTTAAGAATGTTAAGTATGACTCTGAGTGTGTGACCTGATATGAGGAGGATAGTGCAAGACAGGGATATAACTACTAGATTTGTGTTGCATGCAGTGTGAACATTTCATAAGTGTACAACAAAGTGATTTGGATTAATTATTTCAAAACACGAACCTCAGATGTTAATATTTCAAGAAACTGTTTTTTAGAAGAACTGCAAATATCAACAAGAATATAAAAAAAGGATATACAACACGTTATGCACAACTGCAATGGGGTAAGTAAGTTAAAATTCTTGTACCTATTTTTGCATTCATTCATTCATATATTTTATTATAAATTTGTTGGTAATATAATATGAATGGATAATTTTATATAAGATATTTATTCTATATAAAATGCTAACATAAGTTTATTTTAATATAGAGAGTAAAAGTAAATCTATAATGAACGGTTTAGTTTCATCAAAATAAAATGTCATCCGAGTTATCTGAGTATCTCCAAATAATATATTCATGTATATTTTATCTTTTAAAATTTTTAACGTTACTTACGTGATAAATATTCCATTTGCATAATCTTTACTGCATTTATATGAAGAACATGTTTTCAAACATATTTAACTATTATTATAGATAAGTGTAGAAATTAATGGTCAGAATTAAAAAGAAAAGTATTAAGTTGGTAAGGGTAATAATGTTGGAGTTATATATATCTTCATCTAAAATACTAAGGTGAAAAACATGTATGTAGATTAACTTTAACATATATCAACAACTAAATTAATTTTATGTACATTGTTCACCTTTTTAACGCAAACGCGTTATTGTATTTAGCCTCAGGCGATTTTCGCCTAGCACCGGTTTCTCCCCTATGTCCGGCTCAGGAGGGAAATTTTGGAAAGCGTCTTTTGACGTCATTTCCCTCTTGGCGTCAAAAAAATCCTTCCGAGGATTTGGCGATTTTCGCCGATTCAAAATGGCGGAAAAAATTGCGCCAAGTGCCAGTTATCTGAGACTTCCCCGCTTACGCTAGAACTTTTATGGAACAAAGTGTATCTGACAAGATTAGGTGCGAAACGGGAAAAGTCAATCACAACTGCTTGTCGCGTTTTAAGCGCACACACCGGTACCATATACACGTTGACCTATTTTCACTTAAAAAACATCTCAGAATTGCACAAAAATGGCATTGCGCACACTCTTGACTTTATCCATGTACACTGCTAAAGTCCTAGCTGAGAACCTTTATCGCCTTACCAAAATGTCGCCAAACTACCTGTTACCATATTCCAAAGATTAGCCGAATAATTTTCTTTATGTATTCGGTTTCTTTCTTCAATGTTTCCCTTTAATTTTAGAATTTTCGGATTTAATTAAAGATTTCTGTTATTCTAAAAAACACTAAATGCATTTAGAATGTACAGAAAAAGCGGCTAATTTAAATTTTTTAGTAATATGAACATTCAGAAGAAATACGAAGTATATATTATGATAAAGGCCGGTTACAGAGCAGGTGTGGCAGAATTTTTAGAATTTGGTGACGCACAGAACAACAAAATCTAGAAATGGCAAAGCTTTTAGAATTTAGAGTAGGCATTGGAAGCAGAATTTAGGATACACAGAGATTGCATCAGGTGGGAAAATGCATAGCACCAGCTCTGTGTACGATGCATTTAGACACATTAGATGAATCTTTTAAATTGTACGTTTTCAATTTCTTTATTAATAAAAAAAAATCTCTATAATGCCTGCCCAAGTGATAAGATTAGAAGCATTTTTGATATTTTCCATGCTTTTGCCTAGTGAAAAGTAAAGAAAATAAAGGGAAGATAAACATGTTAAGAAAAAGATTCTAGTATTCAGGAGTAAAGCATTCAAATATTATGTTTCCACTGTTCTTCCAGACGTTCTCCAAAAAGTAAGAAATTCATTGCAAACTTCCTGTAAAATGCATCCATTATGTGTTGATCTGTTGATACCATAGAGACATTTTTCATTTTGTCACATATTTCTCGAATCTTCTAGAATCGTGGGCCTATAAATCTTGCCTTCAAATCCTTCTAAACTTTCCATGCTGCAATGTCAAAAATACTAAAGAAAAATTATCCCAACCAATTCTGTAACAGCAAAAAGCCAGAAACATTTTGAAAAAAAAAGGGGGGAAGGAAAAAGTGTAAAATTAATTTTATAGAGAAAACTGATGCATATTCTGAGAATTTTGAATAATCTGAGACAACTACATGGGAAAAAAGCTTACTATGAAAAAATTAAAAAGAAGACATTTTAATTACATAGCTAATTTTGCTTTTACTAAGAGCTGTTTCGTAAATTATGCTTTATAGCTACATATGTTGTTTATTTTTCAGATTTAAAATATTGTATTGCCAAAATGAAACTTTATAATATGACAGCGAAAAATAAAAATGTTTTATTTTAATGTTATTTTTTAAATATAATTCTAATATATTACCATTATTTTAATGAAATTTATCATCAATATGATGTTTTAAAAAAAATCGACGAAAAATTCTCAGATCTCGGAATTAAAAATTTTCTATAGAAACTGATCTTAAAATCGCCAAAATGTTGACAAGTTGTCAAACTTAGAACGATTTAATAGAAAAATTCACAACTCCAAAAGCGAAAAGTTGTTTAAAAGCTCTTTATTAGAAAAAATGAATTTTGAAATGCTTATGTTTCACTTCTTGCTTAGAAACTCGAGTATCCCATCATTTATGTTAGAAATAGAAACAAATTATAACCCATGAACCCATTTAAAAGATAACCATATACGTCAGTGAATTGCCAAAAATATTCCTCCAAAATGCTAATTTACACTCAAAATGGCGGTCTTAAAAACAGAAAGAAATTTCAGATGATTAAAATTAAGGACCTTCTACTGATTTTGGCCAAAAGTACGGACTTTTAAGGATTAAAAATCAATTTTAAAAAATTTAAGGACTTTTAAGGACCGTACGAACCCTGCAGATAGAAGTGAGATAAAATTTAACGAACAACTTGTGGTTAGTCACCAAGCTCATGATGCATACCCAAATATTGTATAGTGAAGGATAGCTAAATTTGATGATGATAGCCACTAATTGTAAAGTTTTTTGGATATTGCAAAACAAAGGTAAAATTTTCCAGTTAACGGATTTTGTAAAGAAATTTGGAGAAGCGATAATAAAAGATGATATAAAAGAAGAGATCTAAGATCGTGTTCTGCACAGGTTTTTGGCACCATTGTGTGTTGCATGGCAACCCTTTTTGATGTTGAATACTCCTTTGCTGGATTGTTTTAATTGCTCCTTGGTTTGTGTCGTGTGTATTTTGAAATGGACGATGTTGCAAGAGGATCTGGGAGATTATTTTTAGTGGCTGTGCATGATGCTGATCCAATGTATCAAAGAGTAGATTGAGCCTTGTACAACTAATTTTTTGGATGGCTGGAAATGTTACAAGGATTTAGGAAAAGAAGGTTTTGAACATTTATTTGTGAACCATAGTATGAATTTTCTGGATAGGGTGTCTGGCTGTCATAAATACGATAGTGATTACGCGGTGGCATGAAATAGGTATTTCTCCTGTTCAAAAAAGCATTCATTCATGGTAAGTGCATTTTATTTTATTCTATTTTGCAGAATTCTTATTTTATTCTTATTTTCATTGTTTTTTTAGTATGAATTTCTGTCATTATTGTTGCTTTTTTGAATTGTTTGAAAGTTATTTTAGTTAATTTTGTTGATTATTACATAGTGCCTAGATTGTGCAATTCGTAGATGTTTTCTAAAGTTGAAACAGAACACTGTGTACATGGTATTCTTTGAAATTTATAGTTATGTTAATTATAATATAGTTTAATTTTATAATGTTAGTTCTTATATTATGTTTATATTTAGCGCACACCTCACTTTATAAAGCGAGGTGTGCGTATTTCGTAGATCCATTCGCTGCCCAGATTGTGCAATTCGTAGATTTTTTTAAGTTAAAACATATCACTGTCTACATGGATTCTTGTCAAATATTGTTGGTTAGAAACTTCCCGACTTGAGGGCTTATATCAGCGTAGCTCCGAACTAATTGAAATTGGAAGCAAATGCGTATGGTCGAACCTTGGATGATAACGCCGCTAGAGAGGATTTTTTTTTATTCTTATTTTATGAATTTATGTGGCGATGCCAGTATACAAATTCTAGTTCAGATAACTTTAGAAGTTTTTGGATACTGTTGAGGAATTTTGTTTGACTGAAGACATGTTGATTTGTAAATATAATTTGTAAATAAGGTAAGTGGATATTTCCTTTGTGTAAAACAAAGATGAATTTCCTTTTTTACATTGTTTGGAATCACTTCCGTAGGGAACCCAGTAATGTAAACATCGCCAACTTTGGCGATAATAGTTCAAACCTGGTTACCCAACGGATTTATCCTATTCGCTTGTTCGAAGTTTGCAACCATTCCTCTTGCGTTTATTTTGTTGAATTATCACTGTCGTTGTTCGCATTTGCAGATTTATATTATTCTTCTCTTATTTATTATTATTTTTCTGAATGTTTTAACAACGAATAGATAGAAATATTTTTGTAGATAGATGCCGATTCTAGGTTCGGGATGAAAGGAGGGGTGAATGCTAATATGTTACATGGCTGTTCACATTGTGTTCTTAATTATTAACAGCTCTAAGAACCATAACCATGAGGTTCCTAACGTCTAAAATAATTTATTTTTGTAGACCACAAAAATGTGCATTTTAAAATAATTTAGTAATGCTTTTATTTTTATTATTGGTTATTGTCATCTAAAATTATGAGAATAAATCAATTTTTATGGCGTAAAATTTTAACAATATATTGTTAATGCTTTTCTAACAAAAACCTTTCAAAGGATGGCAGGTGTGACATAAATAGATGATTAAATTGAAATAAAAAATATTATTGATTATCTAAGATGACAATAGATTGATGCATCACCATGGTCATCAAAATTAGCAAACCACTGCTGGTGTAAGGAATATATTGTTTTAAGACAATTTTTTTTTCGTATATCACGTTTAACCGGTTAATTTTACATCTACATGCTTATTACTTGTGAATTTTTACTACCATATGCTTAATATATTGTTTTATCTGCTAACTTTAATTACAAAAAAAAAAAAAAAAAAAAAAATGCACGAGTTGCATGTTACATTTGTTGAAAATAAACAAATTCTGAATTCTAAATAGTAGAATTTGCGGAAGAAAACCCGAATAATACTTTTAATAACACGTTCAGATACACGAATAGAAGCATAGCAAAACGATAAAAAAAAATTGAATAATTTTTTTAAAACTTATATCGCTAACTCCGAGTAAAAATTAATAAAGCATACGTTTAATATGTAACTTGAAAATAAGTTTTAAACATTACAAATACAACTACAGTTCGATTTGAAACAAAATAAAGAGAATAAACAAAAGATCTAGTTGACAGAGAATCAGAACACAATTTCATGTACTTTAAATTAATTAATAAATAATGACTACGTATTAACGAACAGTTTGAATAAAAAATTACAAAAGTTACTTACAAAGTTCACGTTTCCATCACAACAGATTCCTCTGTATGTTTGCCTTTCCCTTTCTCTGCTAGCTGCTTGCCCTTCGCTCGACGATCAAGTAGCTGTTTTCTATCTCTATCCATCTTCAGTTTTACTATAACTACCTTCGATGGATGTATTCCAACATGTACAGAAGCCCCATTTGCTTTTTCTCGCTGGATTCTTTCGATATAGACGACATATTTTTTCCTGTAAACCTGGACTATTTTTCCTACTTGCTGCCCTTTATAATGGCCTCTAACAACTTGAACCTCATCATCTTTTCTGATCGGTACGCTGCGAACACCATATTTTTGACGTAATTCTTTCGATAATGGAGAACTCATAATAATTCTTCTTCTGTGAGATGGAGCATTAAAATGCCTCTTTCTGTTCTTTCGGCGAGAAGATGTAATCAATTTGTTCATCTTCATCTTGGAATTTTAGGTATATTTACACGTGAGCCAAACGCTAATCACTCCTGCAGCAACGTTGCTGTAGCGTTTAGTTGTTGGTCTCCTTTCCGGATAGATAGCGCCAAGGAGGTTAGAATAGAAGGAGGGAAGGTTCAACTCAAACGGTGAAGCTTGGCGGCCATGTTACTGTTATCACTGTGACTTGTGCAAGGAAGTCTGTAATTGTAACATTTTTTCCCCCTTTTCTTTTTGAAGCATGTCAGCTTATATTGCATATGGATGCACAAATAGATTTTCAAAAAATATTCCTGGGATTACTGTTTACTCGTAAGTATTGATTTTCTTTTTGTGTGTGTGTGTGTAATTTCATAAATATGTTAAAAAATATCACAATGTCATGTTGTTTTCTTTCCAGATGTGAAAAAAAAAGACTTAATAATAATCGAAACATGTTAAATACATTTTAATGTTTTTGTTTACAGCTGGTATCTTCGTTCCTTAACATACAATGATATGTGCTAGTAATTAAACTGTATGATTTGAACGCTTAGGTAAATCGTTTCATAATTTTCATGAAAAAGTAAGAAATCAATTGTTACTATTTTTATGAATTGTAAAAGTGTTAAATAAAGCAACGCTTTCTTTATGCCATTAATTATTATTCATTTTTAAGTTTTGTGAACTGTTACGAATATAATTTGTGCATTTGATCGAGATAAACTGTTCAGTTGTTAAAATGTTTTTGCATAAGCTTACAAATTTCTGGGCAGTATTGCGATAAACGTAAGTAAAATATTTACACAGTTGAACATGTGGAAAGATATATCCAAAAATTTATATAGGTACATTTCTGTAATTCAGCTTAATTCAGTGTAATTTCTTTGAGATTTATAAATATGAAACGCGCATAAACTGAAATCATTGAATTCACATAAATCTGGTTTATTTTATTAATATTTATTTGCTTGTTGATATAAGGTTGTTGATTGTGAAAAAAATCTATTTAAAACATTCATTTAAAAAAGCAACATGTTACCATTTTTTTTAGATAATTATCTGCTATTAATTTCAGGTAAAAATTATTCTAAGTGATTCTTTAATAAATTGTAATAATATTGCGAATAAATCAGAATATCACTTCTTAAAGAAACAATTGGAAAGTATACCCAACAAGTTGATAATAAAACCTATACAAATTCTTGAAGTTATGCAGAAACATCATTTAGATTTCGAACTATTTCTTAATGATTTTCTGTACTTAGTAAATTACGGATATCATCTTTATAACTTTAAAACAAAAATCTAACAATAGCGAAGCATTTCATTATAAATTTAAGATATTTTTACTGGAAAATCCCTACATTTAACAGCTGAGAAACACGTACGTTTCACTACCGTATGGCAAATGTTTTGAAGTTACAAACATGGACGCTGCTTGTTCCGTGGAGCTTCATTCCCCGATAGTGGAGGAAACTGCGAACCCTCCCTCCTTCTATTCTAACCTCCTTGGATAGCGCAGCAATTGTTTTTAGTCGGCTTCATCTTTGGGTAACCGCGATTCAATTCACGTATAGGTGGGACTTTCACACATTAATGTGGCGGATAAAAACTGGTATTTTGATTTGTGATCTCACTTTGTACATTCACAAATGGAGTTGCTTAGCTTTTCCGAAATGTGTCATTTTGTTCAAGGAGGCGTAATTTCTCATTGCGTTACTGAAGCAGAGAGAATGTATTTGGTAATGCACGAAATTTTACTTGAAAAATCCAATTTACAAATTTTGGCTTCCTATTTAAGGATAAGTTGAATAGCGTTCTGATCGCATGAAATCGAAGGACATTTCATTGTTAAAAAAAGAAAAGTAAAAATTTTAAAAAAATTCTTGTTCATGTAGAGCAGGAACTGCTGGATGTTGTAGGAAATTGTGTCACTGTTTTATTGTATTGCGACTGAAAGCTGATTTTTAACGTTCAATGATTGTAAACAAATGATTTTCTATGTGTTTAACTTGGGATTTCCAAAAAAATCTGTGCAGTCAAAAGTGTCTTTTTTTTTCCCATAAAAATAATATTGAATCATTATATACTAAAAATATATTCGATCTATTAGGAACTACTCTGATATGCGCCCTCAAGTCGCCAAATATTTTTGGCGAGAAACTTCACGCTGCCATATTACTATCTAAATTTTTTGTCTACATTTTGAACTTTTAGCCTAAAATGTCTCCAAAAACGCGGTTTTCGCAATGCAAAATCGACGTTTTGAACACACAATTTAGCTAAAAATCCGAAACAAAAACAAAAAATTTAGATAGCAAAAATGTAAAGTTTCTAACCAAAAATATTTCACAAGAATCCATGTACACAGCGACATGTTTTAACTTAAAAAAAATCTACGAATTGCACAATGTAGGCAACGAACGAATCTACAAACTACGCAGACCTCGCTTTAATAAATTAACATAATAACAATAAATTTCAAAGAATACCATGTACACAGCATCCTGTTTAAACTTTAAAAAAATTCTACTGTTTACTTACTATTCCTGTTTAAACTTAAAAAAAATTGCACAATTTAGGCAAGGAAGGAATCTACGATCTACACACTCCTCACTTTAATAAAATAACATAACAACAATAAATTTCAGATACTACCATGTACACAGCGTTCTGATTCAACTTTAAAAAACATCTACGAATTGTACAGTCTAACACTAGTTGTAACACTAACACAGTTGTAACACTAAACAACAAAATAAACTAAAATAAATTTCAAACAACTTAAAAAAAACAACAATAACTACAGAAATTCATACTAAAGAACCAATGAACATAACATTCTACAAAATAAGAACAAGGATAAAATAAAATGCACTTACCATGAATTAATGTGTTTCGAATAGCAGAAATATAAATTTCATACCGCCCACGTAATCACTATCGTATTTACATGACAGCCAGACACACTATCCAGAAAATTTATACTATGGTTCACAAATCCCTACTTCTATCAAGCACTGCCATTAAAAATAATCTCCCAGACCCTCTTTCCACACTTCTAAATACCCACTACCCCTCAACAGGATAGCCACAATCATATTTCCTTTTGCCGAACTTCAATTCAACAACTACCATTTTATCTTTCCCTCCCATCTTCTCAGACACAGAGGCAAACCAACGAGCTCCAGCGAAAGATTTTTCAACGTCAACAGGGTTGCCAAAGAACACGCAATCGCGCCAAAAACCAGCGCAGAACACATATCGCCACATTTGGTGAAATTAGGGCGTATATTAGAGTTGTACCATCTATTATATTCGTCTATTGTATTTATATCTATTATAACCATAATAGCACTAATTATCAGATGCAATTTTGAGAATATCAACAAGCAAAGCACTTAAAAATGAAAAAAGGCACTTGTTATAGAAATATTAGTGTTCTATATGTATTATAGAAAATACATGCAATGAATAATACCATGACCAAACAAAACAAAACAAAAAAAAGAGCAGATTAAGTATTACCTACCCTTCAGTAATTGAGAAAGCAATCCTGGCATATAACATGTAGTTAACTTTTGATTACCTGATATTACAAGCATTTTCTTTAGATTTGTCCTACAAGTGGTTAAAACGACGACTGAACACATAATGCCCACAACAATAAAAAAAAAGTTTAATTACTTTTCGATCACAACACGCTTCACAAACGTAAATACCGATTTTTAATGTTTCCACCTTTTAGTCACTAGATGGCGTATCAGAGCGCTGGAATCGCGGAATTGTGTACTTAGCCACAAGGCCTTTCCTCTAATCGAACAATTAGACTTTCCTAATCACAAAACTTCAAATAATGAAAATTGAAATATATTTTTAAAGGCTTTGATGATTATTTATAAGAATAGAATGAAAGAAAATAATGAGATACATTCCACAAGAGAAGAGGAAAATGTGGTTTATGAACAACATCCGCATGTGCTATATTTACAATGGAGTCAATAGCAGATATTCGGCTGAAATTAATTTATTTTTCGAATTTCGAAATTAAAAAATACGCTTGGAAATGATTTCTCTTTCCTTGATGTCTACAAGAAGGGTCAGGGCTTCATTTTTAAAATTAGAAGTGACGGAGCCCTATGGAAGACTGTCAGGAAGGAAAGAAAATAATAAATAAATAAAATAACTAAAAGTTAAAATAATTTAATAATAAACTGAAATTATAATTAATTTAATTAATTAATTGAATAAGAAATTTAAATTAAGAAAAATGTAAAGAGAAGTCTAATAAATTATTAAATAGTTAAATAGAAAAAAATGTATCGGACCTTGTCTTATATGGGACATCGACTAGAATTACAATCCCACTTAGATACTAAAGGCAGCCCAGCCGATCTCCGTCTGAGTTTAAGCCCTGATCATACGCATAATGTACTATTTCAAAGGATGGCAGGCACCACTCTTTTTTTGCAGCACACCAAGGACAAAAGATAAAACGATTAAAAGCGTTAAGGCCGAAATGAATAAATCAATTAATTATGAAACCTCTGTGCAACTTTTTGCAGAAAACGAGGTAAGATTTATAAATTTTTCTTATGCATGATGCTTACCAGTATTAAGAATGTTTTTATTAAGAATATTAAGTGTATATCAATTAATTGAAAACTATTCCCGAGACCTTGAATGACGTGTCCTAAACTTTTAAATGTAAGTGTAATAATATTCATAGTTCATGAACAGTTGTTCTAAATTACTGAAATAGCCGAATTCGTGAAAGAGCTGTTTATCTGTAAAAACATAAATACAAAGCCAATTTTCTCTCATTAGGATTAATTAGTGTCATAGAATATTTTATGCCGCTAAAATTTTATTAAATTTATCAGGATATGTTTTAATATTTTAGCTGTTGTAATCGATTTTTAACGAATACACATAAATATCGGAATGTTAATTTTTAATACCTTCCATTGTAAATATTAAGGATACCAACAGCTGCAATATTAGAAGCATCAGTAGTACTGAACCATTGTAATATAAAAGGATGCTTTTATAAGAATTTATATTTAATTCTAAATTTCCATG